CACATTGTTTTTAGTAAAAGGGTAGAGAATAGTATGCCTCACAGCTGATTTTTTTTTCCCTTTCTATTGGAGGAGGTGGTGGTGTAATTTAATGCCCATTGTTGTGAGGGGTTGCTGGCACTAAAACATCATGGATGTATCTGATACACTATGCCCATTGTTGTGAGGGGTTACCTGCACCAGTGTGTTTTTAAACAGCTCCACTGTGATTCCTCCCTCTGATTGTTTCTCATGGCCGTGTTGCTTTCTATCTAGTGACAACCGTCGTCCTGTGAACGCAGTGGACCGTCATCATGACTGTATCAGACTCGAAAGAAGTTCGAAAGAAGCTCGAATGAAAAGCTCCAAGTCTCGAAAGAAGCTCGAACGAAAGGGGCTCGAAGCCTTGAAAGAAGCTCGAAAGAAGCTCGAAAGAAGCTCGAAAGAAAGGTTTTTGTATACATCGATGCCGATGCGCATTGTGTTTGGGGGAAGATGGTAGCACCCATGCTTCAAGATCTCTTGACAGTACTGTGTTTGAGAGTTGAAAGTGTGAAACCAGTTTTAGAAAGTGTGAAACCAGTGTTTTTGACAACTCGTTGGCGGAGTTGGGTTGTGAGGAATGGTGATTCTTCTCTGACTGGACTGGGGTTGCTTTCGTTGTTGAAATTGAAAATTTGAAATTGAATTGGGTGGATGTGTCTGCAACATGCCCTGCCAGTGTCATTGGGTGGGTGCCAACTACTACAAGCGAGGTCCAGACGGGAATGACATTCACAAGACGAACGTGCCACACATACGGGTGGAATTCCGACACGAGGTCAGTGAATCATAACCGATTGTGTTCGAAGGTTTCTTTCGTGTTTTTTTGTTGGTGTTCGTTTTAAAGCAGAGCTCCCCCCTCCCCCCTCTTCTGTACTCCTAAGCACTAACCCGGTCCTCAACTGGCGTCCCCCCCCGGGCCCAGCGAAAACCCGTGACGGGGCCCAAGAACCCCGTGGGACAGGGCACCGCAGTGGAGGACCCGTTTCTACTTTTTTTTGGTCGTTTTGCGCTCTCCAAGCGGTGCATCTTTCGGATTATTTCCATGTTCTAGCGGAGGATTCGTTCTCATTTTCTGGAGAGTAGTGGAGCAAGCCTCGTTGGGGATTTGGAGTCTGTTTTTTTTTTTTCTTTTCATTTTTGACCTCTCGCCACTACGCCACAAATGTGCGAAATGAGAGTGAATCCTCTGCTAGAAGATGGAAAGATGCTCTTTTTTTTTTTTTTGTCTTTCTCTGGGTCGGTTAGTCCAGTAACGAACTGTGGAAAATCAACCCAGGGCCTCGCTCCACTACTCTAGACATGGGCAAAATGAGAGTGAATCTTCCGCCACAATGTGGAGAGATACATACACGGCCATGATTTTTGTCTTTTGCACTTGTTGAGAAAAGCGGAGCCAGGCCCGTGAGCTCGAATCCAGATGCAAGCCAATGGTCTTTCTCCGCTACTCTCCAAATGTGCAAATGTGACTGAGGGCTTCGAGGCCCCTAAGCTCGAATCCAGATGCAAGCCCCAATGGCAGCAGGTCTCGCTCCGCTACTCTCCAAATGTGCAAATGTGACTGGTGCGGCCATATATACGGTCAGATCCATTTTTTAAGATCATGCTAGTGTGAGTACGCCCTAGTGGCAGCGGGCCTCGCTCCACTACTCTCCAAATGTGCAAAATGAGAGTGAATCCTCCACTCGAACTTGGAAACATACATTGCCATATTATTTTCTTTTCAAAACTGTGCTATATTCTTCTCTCAATTTCACCTTTCGCTATCTACTTCCTTCCTACTCTACACGAAGACGGACCATTTTGCCACTAGCTGCACCTCCTATCTACTTCGCCCACTCCCCGCTGAGTTGCAGCCGTGGCTGCAGTCAACTCTCTCCCATACAGAACACACCGCCCGCTCATGCTCACACTCTCATCGGTGTTGATCGGAGACCCTACTAATACCGAACAGGGGTATCCAGCGGACTAGCACAGCGGGTTAGTTTAAGTGCGGTCATGGGACTCGGCTGATTCTTTTATCTTGACTCTGCTCCCGCCTCGGTCGCCGCGCCTACAAGCTGCACGTCCGACCCTGCCGGGTACAGGCAGGGGTCGCACCTGGGGTGTGGCGTCGCTGCGCCGGGTCCGCTTGTTTTAGTTGAAGGATGAGTACATGCGGCCTCTTTTCACTGTAGCGGATTCACGCTGCCCAGCTTTGCCGAATCGTCAGCAGCGCACTTTTTAGGACAAGTACATCAGAGCCTCGCTTTGCCGTTGCAGATTTACACTGCGAAGCTTTGCTGAAACGCTGGCAGCGCACTTTGTTTTCCTTTCTGGCTGGCGATGCCAGCCATTGTTGTCTGGCAGCCCACCACTCTTCTCCTTGCTCACGGTCTTCCTCCTCCTCCTCCTCCTCCCCCCTGCTAGCCTCGCTCCTGTTGGGCGCTTCCACCATAGGTGGAGGCCAGGGCTGCCTTCTCCCTCCTCTGCTCAACGCAGCTCAGCTGAGCGGACGCTCCAGCAGCGCGCCTCCCAAACTGCACTCTAGCAAATGAGGTGGAGCATTTCACCTCCCAGTTTGATATACTTGGCGAAACGTCTCCTCGCACGCGTTGCTTCAGGGCAGCACGGCCTCCAAGCCTACCCGATACTTCCCACTTTCGGACGGAAATGTCGTTGCAGTCTGGTATCCCTCCTGCGGGTCTCTAGGCTCACGCTACATGGACTGGTACCGTTTTCTCTAAGCCTACAGGATTCTAAATTCTACTTTGTCATCCCAAGGTAGTTACTTTTGTCTTTCTCTGCCTACCTACCGGCTATGTGCGTGTTTTTGGCTTTCACTTGTGTTTTTGTCTTTCCTACCCTACCTCCCTGCTGTTCCGGGACAACAACCCGGCCATGGGCAAGTACCAGGCTCGTGGGCCTTCCCAGCACATAAATAAATACCCGAGTGGGGTCACATGCACACTCATGCAAATCATGCAGACAGGCAAGCACATGTGAACTCAGCAATCATGCAAACACCCAAACTTAGCATTCTTTGCCGACCGAATACGGGAATCTCAGCAAGTAACTCAGACAAGCGGCACCAACCGGCCAAGCTCAGGTACTACCCGTGAACTGTTGAAATAGAGAGTCGAGTTCGAATCCGGATGCAATCAGATTCCACCAAAAAAAAAATAAAAAAATCCTGAATTACTTTGCGCCCGGAAGTTCAATGACGATATCTCAAGGCCCTCGCTCTTTTTTTCAAAAAAAAAGAAAAAGAAAAAGGAAAAAACTCAGCCAAGCGGTAAAACTCAGAAAACAGCAGGTTTCTCAGTCTGTGATTTTTGCAGGCCCTGACATCATACAAAATGTAGCCTTTACATAGGGCATTATGAAAAGGCGTCACAAGAGTCACGTGCCGTTACTTATATTATATAGTAATATGAGTAACTAACTATGGTAGCGAGTTCAATAGAAAAAAAGGAAAGTCCCGGCAAATAATAGCAAACAGTTCCGTACGGTGTTTTGCAAATAAGCAGCTGCTGTGTCATCGAAGGCTCAAAGCGATTACCCTTATCTCTTTTTGTATATTTATTACCTGTGTTTGATCGCTGGTTGTCCTGATGTGCAGGTGTGGAAAGAGGAGCTTAATTATGTGTACTTGGGAAATCCGAATATCCCCAAAGAGATAGATGCTTAGCCCCACTTGGTATCAATATGCCAACTCCCTAGAGAGGTGAGGCAACAGGCATTATGTGTGCCCAACTTGTCATGACAAGCAGAGATGGGCGCTGGTCAGCGAGTGCTGCGAGGAGGCGACTTCCACCCTCAAACACTCGGCAGACGTGTGTGACGACCTCGCAGGCAAGGCAAAAGGCAAAGTGTCGAACTCTTTGTCACACACAGTGAGATGCGTCCCGCTTTACCAACCAGCATGCGGAGGCATTCTTCCACCCCCGGACGATCTCGAAACGGCCTCCACCTCAATGGCTCAGAAGCAGGGTTTGTTTTATGAGAGCAGTGAAGATCTCATCTGTACAGGTGTGTCCTTTCTGATTCACAGGGAATCTGGCAATCATGATGTGGAGTCAAAAATCTCTCATCACGGTGCACTTGTCTGTACGTTTCAATGGGTTGTCTGACTTGTCGCAGTGGGTCGCATGGTGGATGTAATGAGCGGAGGAGGAGATTGGAAAGAGCAGCTGAGAATAACAAGAGGAATGGATGAAGTCGATGTCAATCCGTCGGAACGCGTTTCCTTAATCTTCGACTATCTTCGACTTCGAATGACACTCAGGCAGGCAGGCAGGCAGGCAGGCAGTGGTGCGGCGGGAGGCATGTCGTTGCACGCTACATGAGAGGCGCGACAGGTTCACAGTCCTTTGACAGCTCAATTCACAATGTGAGTAGACTCGGAATCCGAATGGATGTATGTTGCGGGCCCTGATTGGTGTTCAACGGTCGGATGGCTGTTGACTGCCTGATCGATGTTTGAGCAGCAGGCGGTCAAGGAGTGTGTTGCAAGAGCTCACAAGCGAACTTCGATTGTTGCGGGCGAGTTCTGCTGAAGTTGCGATCAACAAGAAGTGTGTTATTGTCTTCGCTCAGTGTACGTTGCAGTAGAACCAGGCAGGCAAGCCCTGTACTAGGCCATGTCTTTTTGTGTTTATGAACTTTATGATCATGGAGTTGCAAAAAGAAGTAAGTGTCATCTCATGTGTCCCCTCTGTAATCCAGCATCCTGGACACAAGATTGACACCGGCATGTGTGTGAGTGAGTGGTCGTCGACGGCCCTATTTGGGGGAATTGCTGCAGTTGGATTTTGCAATGTGTGTACAGTGGAAATCAGTGACAAGGTGTGTTCTAGATGTGGGAGTGAGAGAGTGGATAGATGGGGTCTTCGGTACCCCCTGAGCGAGATTGGCAAAATTTTAAGGCTTGTGGGATTCAGGATTTCAGAGGAGTTGTCTTTGCTAGATAGAATGTGATGTAGGTGTCGTCAGCGTCGTCTTTCTTTGGGGAGATGACATTTGTTGTATCGGTTGCGACGCTCACGAGTATTGCGGGCGATGTGACGGAGAGCGACAAAGAGGCAAATGGGTGCATTTTTGTTCCATTTTTGTGCCACGCCTCAAATTTTGCCGCATTTGTGTCTATATCCTGATTTAGCGGAAAAAAAAAGAGTGCAAGGCAAAGCGGAGCCAAGTCTGTCATCTTCTTGTTCTTTTGGTGTTTCGGAGTTTCGTGTCCAGTGTCGCGATTTCCTCTTTTTGTCCGTCGTGATCCTGAAATTGAAATTCTGTTTTGGGAAGTCGTCTGAACTTGGCGTTTTGCTCTCCGTATGTTATGCTCGCGGTCAGGGAGTGACAGTTTTCATTTTTGTTTTGTTGTTGTTAATTTCTCAGCTCGATGACCACAGGTTAGGCTTGCCACTTTGCACTTAAGTGTTTTTTGAGGTTCGTCAACTTTGTTTTCATTTCTCAGGTATATGACCACAGATTGGACTTGCATCTTTTTTTTTTTTTTTGCACTTCCGCAGCCAAAGTTTGCAGTTGGACGTTTTTGCACTTCAACGTTTGTGGAGATCTGATAGTTAAATAGCTTTTAGCTTTTTTGGAGTTTGTTTTTATTCGCCGCGTTCTCCCCCCCCTTCCCCCTCCCCCTTTGTTGTATCTGATAGTTGATGGTTATTCAGGCTGGCTGTTTTTTGTAGGCACACTTTTTTCATTTTCCATATCGTTGATTGTTGTTCAGGCTCTTTTGCAGGCTGTTTGTTTTTCTTTTTTTTTTCCTTCCTGTGCCGGGCTCCCGTGGGTTGACGTCTAATATGGGTGGCTGCGGTCTGTGGGTGGAGAGGGTGTCCTTTTTCTCTTTTTCTCTTAGAGGAGGATGTATAAAAAAAAGGATCGTTGTACATCCACATAATATTTTGCAAATTTTGAGGTCTATGAGTAATCCAAGGATCTGTTTTTGGAGCCGCTTGTCTCCCCGATGGGTGGCTGATGTCTGCTTAAGGTTGCTCTTCGATGTTTTTGTGCTGCCATATTTGTGGAACTCGTATGATGCTGACTCTCCCCCTATTGATGGTGTTCAGCCTTTTTGGTTCTTTCTTTGGTTTTCAAAGGAGGGTGTTTTTTTTTTTTTTACTTGCGATCTGCAGGACTTGCATTTCAAGCTGCAACCCGATGAGTTCTGGTATTTTAGATGTCGCCTGATAGGTGGTATTGCATGCCAGCCGCCAGGCAGGTAGGTGCAGCTTAACTCGTTGCCGGCAGTACTTCAGTTCGACGTGCGTGCAAGCTGATTGACTTCAGGTATCTTAGATGTGGCGCAATAGGTATATAGAATTCAGCGAATTTCAGCCACCATTGGCCCACCAATGTTTTTTTTTTTTTGTTTCCTTGTTTTTTTTCGTTTTTCTTTTGGAGAAGTTGAACAGGTGCAAGGTAGTTTTTTTCACTTTTTTCACTTTTTGCCAATTTTTTGGTATGTTGTTTCTCCCCATATGAACTTCAATGATCAACTGAAAGATGGCAACGTGTTTGTTTGTAGTACTTTTCACAAGTTTTCAGAGCTTCACATTTGTTTGGAGTTTCTTTTCGGAGATTCTCGATGTTCAAACTTCAAACTGATATTTTTTAATTATTTTGATCATTTTTTATTTGTTTTGAATGTTTTCTCTGTTTCCGGAAAAGTGACATTTTGTATTTTGTTTTGAATGCTTTGAATTTGCTTTCTCTATTTCTGGGATAGAGTAGCTTTCATTCATTCTCTTTGGACTGTAACGCAGCGTCTAATAGCCTCTGATATTAACTTCAATGATCATTTTTAATGATCAACTTTAAGAAGACTATTAATTTTATAGTCAACTTTAACTTCAATGATCGACTTTGATAAGACTATAAATTTTATAGTCAACTTTAACTTCAATTATCAACTTTTTTTAATGATAAACTTTTAACTTCAATGATCGACTTTAATAAGATTATTAATTTTATAGTCAACTTTTAACTTCAATGACCAACTTTTTTTAATGACCAACTTTGATAAGATTATTAATTTTATAGTCAACTTTAATGTCAATGATCATCTTTTTTTTATGACCAACTTTAATAAGACTACTAATTTTATAGTCAACTTTAACTTCAATGATCAAGAATACGTAGAATAGTATTTTAATTTTAAAGTCACTGTGAACTGTAACAACGAACTTAAAAGTTTAAACATCGGATGATGTGAATGTTCAGAGCACTTTGTTGAGCTTTACAATGGGGCATTTATTTTGGTTGTCTCTGCCCTTGCCAATGAATGACTTCCTCAGCATGTGGATTTCCGTGCTTGAAAGTTGGTGCCATTCCATAACTTCTCCCCTCTCTCTTTTTCTCTCTCTCTCAGGCTAGGCTACCAGCCGGGCCGCCCAGGTCACCTGGTTTGATCGGGCAGTGTGCAAAGACCAAGGACGGTTCCAGCAAAAAAAAAAGAACCCTCACTGGTCGAGTACGACCATCAGACACCTCCTAAAGCCTACGTAGCATCCACCCTCTACCACGACACAAATCTTAAATAAAAAACAAATAAAAAAGGAAGAATGTATTGAAAAAAAAAAAAAAACTGTTATGCAGAAAAATACACTGAACAGTCCCATGGGTAATGGAAAGTGCGTTCCAAGTTCTGACTTTTGTGAAGTTCTCTCTCCCCCAGCCGTGGCCTCGGACGTGCGAGCCTCCTGTTGCTCGGCTTGACCGAGTGCTTTTCTCCCTAAGCCTTGGACACGCGAGCCTCCTGTTGCTCGGCTTGACCGAGTGCTTTTCTCCCTAAGCCTTGGACACGCGAGCCTCCTGTTGCTCGGCTCGACCGAGTGCTTTTCTCCCTAAAATAGGCCACTTGACAAGACCCCCTCTTGTCAAATAATGAAGCACAAATTTCAAGTTTGTAACATGTGTTGGCATTTTTTGGGGTGGTTGGTTCTCCCGGCTTGACCGAGTGGTTTTCTCCCCAAAATAGGGCACTTGATAAGACCCCTCAGATTGTCAAATAATGAAGCAGAAATTTCAAATTTGTATCATGTGTTGGCTTTTTTGGGGTGGTTTCAATAGGTTTTCAGTTGGTTCTCCCGTCGCTTTCAATTCAAGATGAATAAAAAGGAAAGTAGAAAACCAATATTCTTGAATTTGAGAGGGAGAAGGAGAATATTGAGTTTATGAAGTTAGTGGACGTACTGTTAAATCTTCGGGGATTCACATGTGAGACTTTAAAAAGTCCATATGAAGTTAAAATACTGTAAGGTTTATTGAGAGGTGTGATCCATCAAAATTGGAAACTTGAGGCATAAGAGGATAAACAACTCTCAAAAACTAAATATCCCTTACGACGGCCTTTAATATACTAACAAAGCAACCCACCTTCCATAACCCAGATAAGAAGATTGACAAATCATATTTTCGTATCATTTTCAACCATTTCTTCAAACTACAATGAAGAAGAAAACCAGGCTGCTTATAGAAAAAAATCTTAGTTGTCAACTTGTCAATTACATCTTTTGTAATTATTGAAAGGTTGTCTTCCGGGGAACACTCACCGTGATGTCATGTTGCACCCGTGCAAGCTACGATTCGCTCGAGTACACTTCGTACATATGAAGTGTTAATAAAAGGTAAAGCAAATAGCGAAACAAAGACAAGACCTATTGCAGCAACACCTCCTAATTTATTCGGTATACTACGAAGAATTGCATAAATAGGTAAAAAATACCACAAACACGTCATATTTCATCTAATAGAGATCAAGGGAATACTCGTATTCACGCATAATGCTAAGAATGTGCTACGAGTCTAATATAATATGAACGTGAGGTTCTCTTTTGTAAACTAAGTGAATTTTATGAAAATTGGAGAAACATATTTTGTTGGAACGGACGTGAAGAGATTGCACACTACTTGAATGTTACGAAGTTTATAGTGAACATCCAAGTTTATACAATGTTTGTTCAAAGTGAATGATGTGTCATGGCAAAAATATGGAGCCAAAAGAATGGAACTTGAAGGAAGCCTTTGCAACCTTCATCACCACATCACTAGGTAGGAAGATTGGAGGTTCCGTGGAACGTAGGAAGGCTTTTTGCTATCTGCAAGCACAAAAATGTATCTTTATTTTGCATGATTTTTCAAAATTATTGAAGCCTACTCTAAAAGATTGTAGCAAAGTTTCATGTGCATTATATCATCTATAGCTAACAATTTCAGCAAATATGCACTCCAATAATATCTGGATTGGCTAAAGATTTGAGAAGGATGAAAAAAACGGGCGTAAAAGTATTCACAAATGTGCTAATGATAAAATTTTATGATGTAAATGACGTTCATCGTCCATCAGGCTTTCATGACGGGAATCAATTATACCTGTTAGAAAAATTGTGTTACAAAAGTCAATGCAACAGGAAAGGAGGCTCTGTTCGGCATGATAAAGGCAACCCCGTGGTGAGCGATTTCAATTGATAAGATCTGGACTTTTGTGAAGTTTGAACTCAAGTAAATCTTGGCATGTAAGGGAATGGATATTCTCCTCTGGACAAGGATGAAGGTGCCGCCGGAGTCGACCACGAAGACTGGGATTATATCCTGTAAGGTGATGGTTCCTAACTTCCCTTCTTTTGTATACCCAATATATAATATAGTGGATTTTCTCGATTAGTTTTTTGGGTATATTTGCATTAAATTATATCTTCTTTTTGTTTCCGTGGGAAGCATCACGTGCCAGGAAATGGAAATGGGCCTAGCGCCCCGTATGAACATTTTACAAAGGATAATGTGTTAGGGACATTACCTGCCTTCGGCTGAAAAAGAACAAATTATATACACGACGACCGAAGTATTTAGAAAACAAAAATTTGGAATTGCCCTAAATCCACAACTCCCCAACCTGTCCATAAGCCTATCTCGGGCCTCCAAGCTCATTTGCCAAGCCTATAGGACCAGGTCTTTCCCCCAACTGCTGGGTCATAGAGCGACGCGACCCACCTTGGCATAACCCAGCGACCCTCTTAGCCACATCAACAACAACCCGCTGATGGCCCAAATTCCAATAGAATACCTTTCCCCCTCGGCTATTTCCTAGACTCTCCCCCAGACCCGACCCTCAACCCTACTCAGGTTACAAGGCAGCATGCCCAAACCCCAGTGTCGGTCGATGTCGTCCGAAGAAGCTGTGAATCATGGGAGGGTGTCAAAACAACATCATCCAAACCCCCAAACTATACTGCAGCCTCATCTCAAGATGCAACCTTAGCAATTCCTTTTTGTTTTCAAGCAGTTTAAGAATTGGTACCATAACCTTAGATCCTCCAAAACCAGAGCCAAACTCGCAAAAGCCGCTCAATACGCCTAGTTATAAGCCCCTCCTCAACCTTCCTCCCTCGTTTATCGAGCCTCTGCTATGTAACCGTTTGAACGCCATGCACGTGCGTTCGCGTACAAATTCGCCTTTGAACGCAAACTCGAATTCGTGTTCAATTTTTTCTTTTTTTTCTTTTTTTTCTTTTTTAAGCTTATTTACAA